TTAACCAAAGCTCCCCCTGGTGATTCTGATGCACACATGCACAGAATTTTTGGGTTTGGAATTGGGTAGGCCTACACAAACTTTAAAGGGATCAGGGGTCTTTTTGAGGGTTAGGTGCCCTAACTCAAGAGTTTATTGGAATGAGTTGAGGACATAACGTCCCACCCTATTCATTGCTCAAACAGCTGAGGGAAAAAGTCCATTTATTTGCATCACTAAGGTGTAACAAGTATCGAGAATACATTTTTCATGAATGGAAGAAAAAGAAAGAGACTGGCAGATCAACTAAGGGAAAACGAGGCACAGATACCAAAGCTCGGAGGATAACTGGTGACTTCTGTGGGCAAAGCCTGGGGAACATTACTTGAACAAGCAGGTCAAATAACTGTCAAGGGAGCAGTTTCAATAACTTGAGTGTTAGAAGTCGACTCTAGGAAGTGGGAGATGCCAGTTTTTTAGGGACTCAGCATGATGAGAGAACTTAATATGAACTGGAAAGGTTAGAACAGGAAAATTTTGTGTGAGTAAAAAGAACAATGAACAGTGGAGCGAGGAGCTTGTGAGAGGCTTTTAAAACTTTAGTCTTCTGACAGCTTCTATTTGCTACGTGTTTCTAAAACTTTCTTCAATACTATCAGCATGCCTCCTGACAGTAAAGTAAGTTGAATGGTCTGAAGTTTTTGTTTGTTAAAGATTTATTTATTTATGCATACAAGAACTGGGGTATAGGCTAGAGGTGCGGGGGTGGGCAGTGAGAGGATTCACCAAAGACAGAGTGGGGAGTAGAACAGGCAGAGTGACTGAAATACACTGCTGAAGGGAGCAGCGGGTGAGACAGGAGAGGTCTACTGCGCAATGTGGGTTAGCTCCCTGGCTGGGGATTGATCTCGTGCTGCAGTAGCTGTGGATTGCTTCACAGTGCTGAGACTTAACCCCTTGCGCCACTAAGGAGGCCCCTCAAGTTGGTTTTTTTTTAATTCAAAAGGTCAGGCTTATTATAAGAAGGGAAGGGAAGTAAAGGATGCTTGCACAGATACAAGTAGGCAGAAAGAGCTTCCCTTGAAAGGCACAGGTCTGCTAAGAGATGTCTGCAGTCACAGGTGGGCAGTATTGGGAAGAAAGCTGCCTCTGCTACTTTGCAAAGGGAGAAGGTGGGTAAAGAGAAATACCTGTATGGTCACAGCTGGTAGAGCTGTTGCTGGCCTGAAATGTTTTAGGACTTTCTTTCCTAAAGTCTTCTTATTGTGATGTTGTATTTTTTTTTTTTTTTATAGAGGCATGTTTTTATTTATTTATTTATTTATTATATTTGTTTGTTTTGTTTATACATGCACTGGGTACAGTCAGAAGCGTGGGAGGGTGAGAGAATTCACCAGAGCCAGAGCGGGGAGCAGAGCAGGCAGAAGGGCTGAAGTACACTGCTGAGGGGAGCAGCGGGCGGCAGGAGAGGTCTGCGCGCCATGTGGGATCCTCCTCCGGTGGCCGGGGAGCAGCCGGGGATCGAACCGGCGCCGCAGAGGCCGCGGGCAGCTTCACAACCCAGCGCTCAACCGCTGCGCCACCGGGGAGGCCCTGTGATGTTGTATTTTAAGCAGTCTTTTGACCCTTCTGGTTAACAGTTATTGTTATATTATGCATCTCACTTATAACATGGTAAATTACACTTTGCTTCCAAGACTATTGATGAAAAGCTTATTTTTATGCGAGGAAAAAAAAATTCAGTGTTAAAAAGAATGAAGAAAGAGGTAAACTGTCAGTGTAGTAAAATGGAAAAGATGTAAGTTTTCACTTAGATTTGAATCCTGACTTTTCTACTTACCAACAGTGTGACCTTGAGCAAACTCCTCAAATCTGCTTTTCTTTCATTGTATAATAGATCCATACTCTCTGAAGTATGGTTTTCGATATTAAATAACATTAAGTTACTTGTAATCTCTTTCCCTCCACCATTACGCTGTCTCTGCTTGCCTCTTCCTTACCATGTCTACTCACAAGACTTTCAGGATCAAGTCATTCCTAGCCAAGAAACAAAAACACTCAGTACATTCCCCAGTGGATTCAGATGACAATTGGCAATAACATCAGGTGCAAATCCAAATGGAGATAACTGAGAAGAACCCAGCTGAGTCTGTATGGAATGACAAGCAGGGCGGCCTGCATATTTATGCTGTATTGGCTGCAGTAGCATCTATACCATCTCATTGAAAACATCACTGCTTTGTGGACAAGTTTCCTCTTGGCATGCTTCTGTACCAGCCAGGCTCAGTAGTATGTGAGCTCTTTGAAAAAAAAAAGTTACTTATAAATAATGTGTGGCACAGAGCAGGCATTCATATGTTCTCTTCTTCCTCCCACAATGTCCAAGTTTAAGACATATACCTCTTACATATAATCACGATGGAATAGAATGGACTGATTCCAGCTCCACACAGAGATCGTCTCAGGGACCGAGAGTAAATTCCTATCATTATGAAAAGCCTACTTCCCATCCAGAGTGAACCTGTCTATGTTCTTAGGTTGAGTAAACTATATGGAATGCGAGCCAAAATTTTCAGTGATCAACTCTGTAAAGTGAGCACTAGGAGGGCAGACAAAGGGACATTCACATTTACTTTGTATAGTTTCGTATTACGAAAAAATCTTTTGTAATACATACTGCAAAAATCTTTTAAATGAAAAGAAAAAATAAAATCACTGCTTCATTTTCAAAGCTAATGAGGGAAGACTGGGGACCTTAACGCTACCCTTTGAAGTACAGCTCTTTCCTTTCTTTAACCCTTTGGGAATGACAGCGATCTGTTGGGGGAAAATCGCACAAGGTTGCAACCTTCTGTTCAGTATCTTCCAGCAAGTCCCCGTTCTATCACTCATTAATGTTTTTCATTGTTGTCTGCTAAGAAAGTTTCCAGACTATCTGCAGACTATTTATAACCCAGAGTTCCTTTTTGAAGGAAGTTATCACATATGACTTGTTTTTTTAGCCTGCAAAACTGCCAAGTGAGTTTGCAAGGAGCGAGGAGATCCTTATCATCTACTATGTTGTCTGCTGATATCTTTACCTACATGCCAACATTCAGTCAAGGACATAATCTGTGAATCTGAGGAGGAACAACATAGAAAGTGTGGTAAGTTCTCAATCTGTGGCAAAAGAAGAACCAGTGTGATAGTGATAGTGCCAGGGCAAGTGAGCAGACAGGTACTCCGTGACCATATAACACTGAAGAGAAAGAAGACAGGAAAAAAAGACCTCAAGAATTAGAGGAACGGGCCTCCCTGGTGGCGCAGCAGTTGAGTGCTGGGTTGCAAAGCTGCCTGCAGCCTCTGCAGCGCCGGTTCGATCCCCGGCTGCTCCCCGGCCACCAGAGGAGGGTCCCACATGGCGCGCAGACCTCTCCTGCCGCCCGCTGCTCCCCACAGCAGTGTACTTCATCAGTCTACCTGTTCTGCTCCCCGCTCTGGCTCTGGTGAATTCTCTCACCCTCCCACGCTTCTGACTGTACCCAGTGCTTATATAAATAAATAAATAAATCTTTAAAAAAAAAAAAAAGAATTAGAGGAACAATGGGCCTCCCTGGGAGAGTAGAGTTAAAGTCTCAGAGCTATCAAGCTATCTGGGCATGAGTTTGATGGATGCCTGGCTAGGGAGCTAACAACTCACTTGGCGCAGCAGACTTCCTCTGTCTCTCCCACCGCTCCCCCTAGCGGTGTATTTCAGTAGCTCCACCTGTTCTGATCCCCACTCTGTCTGTGGTGAATTCTTTTCCCCACCCCCAGCCCTGCCCCTCTGGCCCACACTCCAGTTCTTGTATGCATAAATAAAAATAAATCTTAAAAAAAATTTACAGGGACAAAATGTCAGCATGTTGCCCTTGCACGTTGCCCTTGACAGGAAGAGGACAAGATATACCTCAGTACTTCAGTCAGCTTTGCGAAATTACGTACTAGAGAGAATTCTGGAAAGATTGCCACGTAGTACCCATGTGAAAGACACAGGCTCACAACGAACATTACTAGCTTTTACATTATGAGACAGGTCAATGACTTATTTTTGAATTAAAAAAAGCATTTGGGTATTTTAATATTTCTCCTGTTTCATAGCAAATGATCAATATTGACTTTTGTCAAATGTAAAAGTCTGGGTATATGTGCTTAAATAATTATTCCAAGAACTTGATGACAGAATTTAAGAAGGCACATTCATGATATTTTGACTCAATTTTTCAATCACACAGGCTAGAAAGGGTAGAGGATTCTTGGAGTCAGTTTCATTAGATACCACCAGAGCTAGGACTGCAATTCTTACATTTCTGCCAGTGAAAAAAACTTTTGTAGTTTTATGAACTATAAATAGCCTTTTCTTTCAGGTTGTATTTTATATTTTAAAAGGACAGGTTTATTAGGGAGAGGAGAAATAGGCACCTGCATTCACAAGCAGGCAGAAGAGCTGCCTTCAGGTTGAATTTTAAATCAAATCTGTAAGAGGTCACCTGACAGATTGTAACCTCTCACTGCCTAATCCAGATTCTCTCAAATCTGTCCATTAGCTGGGCTCCAAAATAAAGACGTTCTCTTCTCCCAAATTCCAGAATGCTCACCTGGTTCTAGATACACAGGTCTCTTGCTCTTTTTGAGTTGTATATATTTTCCCAATGAGCTCAAATTTTGGGTTCAGGATTCTCACTATTTGTGTTTTTTTATCTGATCCACTGTTGCCCCCTGTCTCTGCACAAACCTCTAAAGCCATTCTTTCCAAGGGAGTAAGAAGGAAGCTTTTGATGCACAGAGTCAAGTTCCCTTGCTCAATGGATTCCCCCATTATCAAATGACTTCTTCCATTTTGACCCTGAATAAGAAAGTGATAAATTGGGACAAAGTTCATAATACCTTCCCCTTACTCCTGGCAGCTGTACAGCTAGAATGGAAACTGACGGCTACCAGAAATTCACTCAGTCACAGAAATGCCTCATCTAAAAATAAAAGCCAAATACACATTTCTTAGTTTTTTGCATATATTTACAATATAAATATTAATTTGTTTTCAAAGTACATATCCTTTTAACAATTTGCAAAAGTTAACTAATATGGGACAGCAATTTAATGTAAAGCCTCTGTAATAGTGACTAAGGAAAAATAGAACTGTTCTGGGAAATGGTATTCTAGAGGAATATGAATGGGCATGATGATCCGAATTTGCAAAGGGAATGTGAAGCAGCTTAGTCAGCGTTGCACTGCCATTACAGCATGTTAAAAGATGACTGCGAGACAGCAACCTGGGTGGGGCACTGTTAAAACTAAACTTTGGAGATATAAAAAGTACACATGCTTGCATAGTGCGTTAATCTTAAAGAAGCTCAACATTTCATTCTCATTTTCAATAACTTAAATGAATAGTACTTAAAACACATCACACAAAATTAAAGACGTGTGCATATATTTCAGATTTCAACATTAATGTCAAAAATACATAGTATGATTTTACATAGGATTTGTGCTACATTAGAACACTATAGACAAACATCACTTGAGTATTAAGTAAAACATTAAATATTAAATAACTGAGAAATAAAATGTGTAAACACTAATCTAACTTGGGGAGGGTGTTGCTATTGCAATAATATGTCCAATGAAGTGGTTTCAACAGTACAAAGAGGATCAGGACATGAATCTTTCCAGTCTACTTGAAATATGTGGATCTCATTCCAGGAATCCTTTAATGAAAACTGGTCCAGAATAACAGGAGAGGATCCACTCTCCCGGTTGATAATTTTGGTACACTCCGTTTTATAGCAATTTTTATTTTCAGACTTTAAACTGCCACTCTCCTTATCAACATCTTGGTGAAAACTGAGGGTTTGTTGGCGATTCAGTGTAAGATTTGAGTTCGTATGCAGCACCGCTATCAACTTCCATTGACTTTCTGGAGAACAGGAGCCGTACATCTCTATGGAGGTAGATCTTTCCAGATTTAGAACTCTGGAACCTAAATGAACAAACAAAAAGATGATCATTTCAGGGAATGATTCCTTAAAACAAAAAAATCCCAGTAAGTTTTATAAGCAGAATAAATCATTTTGCCACAATATAAATTAATACTGTCTTTAACAAGATATTTAAGGTCTGACATTGCCAAAATGTGTGCTCCTATTTAACTGCCTCTCCCTTACTATTCTCTAAACACTGGAGTCTCCCTTCTCCTTCCTAAAATGCCAGGGATGCTTCTTACTGTAAACCTGAGTGCCCCATACAATCCCACTTTTCATTCCTGATACTATAAGACATGGTCCTTCCTCATTTATAGTGTTCAGTACAGATCGATCAATCAATTAATACATTTGGGTTTTCCTAGCTCTACCATGTTCTAGCCACATATAGACTGACTCACTTCATACAACTTTCCCTCCTATAATTTTGACAGCTTTTATTAAAAAGGACTCCACACTTAAAAAATTAACACAGATGATTGCATTCTGAAGACAATCACAGGATGAGAAAGGACTGCTGTTATCAGGAGTGGCTAGCTAAATAAAGCCAAATTATAATAAAAAGTGAATAGAAACATCAGCAGTGAAGTGAAAATGGTTATCAGCATAGTTTCTATCCCCTGCTATTATCTATGGTGTAATACAGTGGGCTGGAATCTTTAATCACAGAAATGTACTTAAAAGTTAGTAAGTAGAGCTGACCATAGATCTGAGGCAAGACAGGGGAGGGAGTGAGAAGAGTCAAAACAGGGGAGAAAGAGCACAAGGGACTGGTGATGATTCACAAGTGTTATGGTGTTGGGAGAACTACGGGGACTACACCCGAGGGGAGTAACCAATTACTGCACAAAAATGAACAATAGCATAAGAAAATGAATATAGAAAAAATTAAAATGAAATAAATAAAAAATAAAAATAAGTAACCAAATGTTATATTTGATAGTGCTTAATCTGAATGTTCACATTGAGTCCAGCAGTTGTTCAGGTTTGGGTGGTCTGAAATCAGACAAGTAAATATAGTAAAAAAGAGAATTGTTCTTTGATTGAAAATGATGTGTCAATGTTGTTTCATCAATTCTATCAAATGTACTACTCTGGTAGGGGGTGCTGATAATAGAGAACGCTATGCATGTGTGGAGAAGGAGCCATCTGGGAACTCTCTGTACTTTCCACTCAATTAAAAAATAAAGTCTATGAAAAATTCTAAAAAAAAAAAAAGTTAATAACATACCCCTTAGTGCTAATTTCTCTGTTCCCACCCCTCAAGCATAGCAGAAATATACTATGGGTTTGTGGATTTTATTGCTAAATTAGCTAAAAATTTGGTAGTCATATATATGTTAAAGTAGATCATTGATTAACTCATCTTTTTGTTTTTTCTCAAGTCTTCATCTCAATCTGAAGGAGAACATGGAGAGCTTGGGGAAGTACACAATAGTTCTCAAAAAAGGTTTCTTTATAGCATAAAAAGTATCTAATCACTATGTGGGGATCATAAAAGTTGAGGTAGTTGATTTTTAATTTGGCTAAGGTTATATATGGATAGGAATGTTGTCAAATGGTAGATTAGAGAGTTGAATCTTTTCTCAGTTTCTTATTTTTATAGTCTGTTATTTCAGTATTTCTCTTTTTTTTTTTTTTAAAGATTTATTTATTTATTTATACAAGCACTGGGTACAGTCAGAAGCATGGGAGGGTGAGAGAATTCACCAGAGCCAGAGCGGGGAGCAGAACAGGCAGACCTATGAAGTACACTGCTGAGGGGAGCAGCGGGCGCGGCAGGAGAGGTCTGCACGCCATGTGGGGCCCTCACTGACGGCAGGAGATCAAACCGGCGCTGCAGAGTCTGCAAGCAGCTTCGCAGCCCAGTGCTCCACCACTGCGCCACCAGGGGAGGCCCTATTTCCCTTTTTAAAAGTTTTCCAACTCTGTTTTTGGTAACTCTTTTATCCCTACAATCTATGTAACATTTTCCATAAGGCTCATGTCAGGCAATGTAAAGTTGGCTTTAAATACACTATGCTAGTTCAATATGTCCTTAGTTCAGTAGACCCAAAGAAAAGAGCATAAATTAATCAGTGTTATGGGGGGTGAAGGGGAGCAATTAATTTAATAGACTTTCCCAAGTAAGTATGGGGCTTAAGTGTATAGTTCATGCCTTATTTATTCCAGATCACCACCCCAAGGCAGATCTAATGAAGAATAGATGGTGGTCACCATCCATAACGAAGTTAAAGGTCCTCCTCCTGATGAACAGGACTGGACTCTTTTTTTTTTAAAGATTTATTTATTTATTTATACAAGCACTAGGTACAGTCAGAAGCGTGGGAGGGTGAGAGAATTCACCAGAGCCAGAGTGGGGAGCAGAGCAGGCAGAAGGACCAAAGCACACTGCTGAGGGGAGCAGTGGGCGGCAGGAGAGGTCTGCGCGCCATGTGGGACCCTCCTCCGGTAGCCGGGGAGCAGCCAGGGATCGAACCGGCGCTGCAGAGGCTGCAGGCAGCTTCGCAACCCAGCACTCAACTGCTGCGCCACCAGGGAGGCCCTGAATAGGACTCCTTTAAGTAAGATGTTAGACTAAACTGAATTACTGTCACTGAAGTGATTAAGGACTTATTAGGAAAGAACAAGAAAATTATTAGGAATAGAGTTACAAGCAAAAGGCCACTGATGTCTCTTTTAGATAAATGACTTGCTCACTGATCCTGAGAACTATAATGGGAATTCAAGGCTGAAAATCTTACTCTAGGATGTGGCAACTTGGATCTCAAGGACAAACAAACAGCTTCTCTCACAACCTAGAGTTGTGAACTAGGTAGTAAAAGTGAGAAAAAAAATATTTCCGATAGAATTAAAATATAAGCTCTATGAGAACAGAGATTTTGTCACTGCTCTTTCCCTAGTGCCTAGAAACATGGCAGACACAAATATTTGTTGAACGATTAATGTGAATGATTAACTCAAATCAATGAATGAAGGTTAAGAAGTTACCTGTCTAATACAGCACTCACTAGCTACATATGATTACCAAGCATTTGAAATATGGCTAGTTCAATTGAGCTGTGCTGATAAGTACGTACTTGATTTCAAGAATTTAGTACAATCAAAGAATGTAAAATACCTCACTGTTTCACACTGATTTGATATTCCAATTAAAAAATTTGGATATAAGACCTCCCTGGAGGCGCAAAGGGTTGAGATGCAACCTATGAGGCCGTCCACAGCCACTGCAGCATGAGTTCCATCCCTGGCCAAGGAGCAACCCACATGGTGCAGCAGACCTTTCCTGACTTGCCTGCTGCTCCCCTCAGCAGTGTATTTCAGTCAGTCTGCCTGTTCCGCTCCCCACTCTGTCTCTGGTGGGTCCTCTTGCCCCCCTGCACCTCTGGCTGGTGCCCCAGTTCTTGTACGCATAAATAAATAAATCTTAAAAAAATAAAATAAAATTTGGATATACTGGGTTAATATTCTATGTTAACCTTTTCTGCTTATTACTTTTTAAAATGTGGCTAGTGGGCCTCCCCTGGTGCCGCAGGCGCAGTGCTATGCTGCTGTGAAGCTGCTGTGAAGCTGTCCGCAGCCTCGCAGCGCCGGTTTGATCCCGGCTAGCCGGCGAGGGTCCCAAATGGCACGGCAGACTTCTCCTGTCACACCTGCTGCTCCCCTCAGCAGTGTATTTCATCAGTCTGCCTGTTCTGTTCCCTGCTCTGTCTCTGGTGAATCCTCTCACCCTCCTGTGCAACTGGCCTATACCCCGTTCTTGTATAAATATAAATAAATAAATAAATAAATAAATAAATCTTTTTAAAAAATGCGGCTAGTGCAAAATATAGAACTACTCATATAGTTCATATGATAATTTCATTGGTTTAGAAAATATGTTTCAATACCACAGATGTATCAGCATGCTTTGTTATAAAATATTTTATATTATGTAATTATAAATGAAATTTCCCTTAATAAAAAAAGTAATACTTCAGGAAGATATGCTATTGAGTTTTCTGCATTTTGGCATATCATCAAGAGTTTCCAAACAAAGCAAAGTACAAGGAGCACTGGCCAAGTTGGAGGGAGTTTTAAAACATAAACTAAAAATTACTAGAAAAAAAAGAGTTGTTCTAAAGAAACGTATTTTCATATTCATTTGAGACATTACCTCAGATGTATGAGGTAGCGTAATAACCGTTCTTCTGTATGTCGGGTGTTCTCTTTATTAACACTTCTCTTCATTTCTTGTTTGACAGGTACAGAAAAAGTTCTTTGTCGTAGGAATGTCTGATGATTGGCTGGCATATCTCTCAAGTCATATATCACAACAAACATCTTCACCACAGTCTTATTAGGATTAAATAAGGTCTAAAGAAACAATACAGAATTTATTTGTTAAAAAGTTACTTGTTGATTGGAATCAAAATGATTTTGCCAATAATAACACAGGATTTTTAATAAAAAGGCAATCCCAGTGGAGATAATTCAGTTGGAGAACTAAAGTTACAAAATTTCTGAAGTTTACAAAGTGACATTCAATATTTTTTAAAGGTTCAATTTTTTGTTTGATAAGTACCCTATGACAAATCAAAATCATTAGCCACAAATTTTATATTAGAGAATATGCAACTTTTACTGCTTGTTCAGATTTTTAGACGTAGTTCCATTAGCTAAGGCAAAACATATACACTCTGAGAGGCTTACATTCCAGTCCAATCATTTCAAACACTGACTTAATTAAAATTATTAACTGCAAAGTTCTCCAAATATAACCTAAGTTTTCCTCATACTTTAATATATTTTAAATGATGGGTAAATAGTATTTTTAAAAAACAAAACCAAAGCTAGATAAAACTAGATCTGTTTGTATGTTAGATACATACATTTATTATAAAATTAAAAATACGTTCCTAAAAAAGAGACTTTTTGCAACTGAAATTTTCCCAAGTTTACAAAATAAGGTTCATTATTAGCAACAAAGTAGGCTAAATAATATTTCACGTTCTCACATTTCAAAAACTGTAGAGACACTAGACAGTTTTTACCGTGCATATCAGAGACCAAAATATGTACCCTTAAGACTGAATTCAACAGGTACTTGGCAATGAATAATCAAAGGAACATTATTTCTAAGAGTGGTAATTTTTAAACAAAACCCCAAGCTGCTGATCTGACTTTAACCAAATTACCAACACATCAATAGGTAACTTGGTGCCCATGCTTTCAGAAGCTCATCCGTGGCACTGGACATCACTCACTGAATCAAAATGAGAAATATATCAATATTATGATCCAATTTTTGAAATCTAGTGAGTCTTAAGATTAAGGCTAGTACATTCAACAACCACAACAACTAGCAAGTCAGGAATTCAAACTACGTTTTATACATAATTAAACTATGTAAGGAATGAAAGACATACCCAAAATTCAGACTGAAAGTTAACCGTTTTAAATGGCAGTCCTCAAACAAGAGGTGAATGTGTTGCCTCTGGGTTTAGGCCTCATGATTACAACTTAGAATTAGCTTTCCAGTGACCCACACTTTCTCATGAGCTACACAGTGAGTGGGAAGACAAGATTATCACTCTTTCAGCTGAAGAAATTCATTCTACATAAAAATCTTAAACTCATATGCAGGATTTCTTCATTAGTAAAATCTATATGTATATATTGCCATATATTCACACACATATCTATGCATGGTACTACATTTCACTCCTATGTGATATGAAATTGTATAGTTTAGACTCCATGCAGTATTGGAGCAATGGTGATGAAACAAAGTGGTCTGTCAAATAACACACCACAGTGAGGCTGAAGGTCATAAAAGGGCTTGTTGAATTAGACCAGATCCTAAGTGCAAGGAACTCAGCTAGACATTTTTTGTTTTTTTTTTTTTTTTTTTAAATTTCAGCTTTGTTGAGGTATATGACTTCTGGGCTTATAAGATTATCCTGGATTTGACTTGGAGATGAACTCAACCACCTACAGGCATTAATATCAAATTAATCTTCTCAGAACCCTAGGATTGCTTTGGGCTAGAGGAATTCTAGGTCAAAAGGAAAGATGCCTTCTCTACCCCACCATATGTCAGATTGTATGTCCGCTTTGTGTAATGATCTCATTAGATCTGGTTTATTATATTAAATATAAGGAACTGGTAATGGTTGGTTCTAATTATATTGATAATAGCTCTATTTAAGTTATATAAACTGTCATAAACTAGTTTACTAAACCATTCACCTTGATTAGTTTATTAATGCTTTCCTTTTATGGAGGTCCCCAAATGTTCATTCCTGGGGCAGAGCAGGGAAACTCCAAACAAAGCTGCAGCCCCACTGTTACTTACCAAAGTTGTTGCAGCAGCAGTAGCAGGAGAAAGGGCTAAGTTCTATATGCATGTGAGAGAATGATTATTGCAATTGTAGACTATAAAACACATACCACTTGTATTGTTCCTGAAGGAGGTACTCGATAACCCCTTTTACCAAGGGACTCTAAAGTGATCACACCCTTGAAATAAAAGAAGACAAATTGAGTACAAACTGACACAATGTATGTAACAGACTAAATTAAGAACAAATCATATAATCACTAAGATTTCAGAATTTTGTTTATATAGGAAAACATTCCATTTAAATTAATAGAGATATATTCAATAACATAAAATACTTCTGGGTCAGGGCCTCCCTGGCGGCGCAAGGGTTTAAGAGGCAACCTGTGGGGCTTTACGCAGCCTTTGTAGCAGGAGTTTGATCCCCAGCCAGCCAAGGAACAACCCACATGGGGCAGCAGAGTCTCGGCCGCTGCTCCCCTCAGCAGTGTATTTCATCAGTCTGCCTGTTCTGCTCCCCACTCTGTCTCTGGTGAATCCTCTCACCGCCCCCTCTACTTCTGACCTGTACCCCAGCTCTTGTATGCATAAATAAATAAATCTTTAAAAAAAAATAGGGAGTCCCCTGGTGGCGCAGGTTGTTGAGCGCCGCACTATGAAGCTGTCGGCAGCCTCTGCAGCGTGGTTTGATCCTGGCCAGCCGGCTAGGGTCCCACATGGCATGGCAGACCTCGCTTGACTCGCCTGCTGCTCCTCTCAGCAGTGTATTTCGTCAGTCTGCCTGTTCTGTTCCCCGCTCTCTGGTGAATCTTCTTACCCTCCCTCTCATCTGGCCTGTACCCCCGTTCTTGTGTAAATGAATAAATAAATCTTTAAAATAAACAAACAAACAAATAAATAAATAAATAGACAAATAAATAAATAAATAAATAAATAAATAAAATACTTCTGGGTCTACCCTTCCCTGGAACTGTTACAGTAAATTTAACACATCAATGGCACATTGCTTGAAATTTCTATCAAAAGATACAGAAGTAAGAAGTTTCGTAAACTAAAAAGGAAATAAAGGGAGTTATAAGATTATCATCCTTGTGTCATGTGGGAGGTGGGAAAACAATTTATTGGTCTTTGAATATATAAAAAGTCAGAAATGTAAAAGAATCTAAATATTGGTCAAAAAATGAAGTAAATTCTTCACTTGGGAGTCAAGTCATATATAAGGTTTTCTTACTAGGGACAGACTGGTATCATCAGGATTATTTGTGAAATTGTCAGAAAATACAGAATTTCTGATTTCTCCTTGGCCCTAACAAGTTAAATGTGCATTTTAAAAAGATTCCCAAGATGATATCATGTATAAGTTTGAGAAGCATTGCTGCAGTATATAAAGCAGTTTTCTAAGGATGTATAAATCACTGCAGAAGTCCAAACAATGGGAAATGAATGTTAGATGCTTGAATGTTTCTAAATAATCAGGATGATCAAATCATTGTGGTGATTATGACACTTAATTCTTAGCTTTATGAAACTAATGTTAATTCATTTGTTTTAATTTAATTAATAGTTTTCTTTTACACAGGGTAAAGTAGAAGAACTGTATGTTCTTCATTTCATATCCTATTATGTTACACTGTGAATGCCAAAACATATCAACATTATATGAAAGTAAATATAAAACAGGAACGTTCCATCAGACACCATCTCTGTTGGGTTTTAAAGACAAAATGAAACTGGGGGATAAAAAAGAATGACAAAAGGGGCCTCCCTGGTGGCAAAGGGGGTTAAGTCTCAGCACTATGAAGCTATTGGCTGCCACTGCAGCATGAGTTCCATCTCGGGCCAGGGAGCAACCCACATGGCACAGCAGACCTCTCCTGTCTCGCCCACTGCTCCCCTCAGCAGTGTATTTCAGTCAGTCTGCCTGTTCTGTTCCCCACTCTGTCTCTGGTGAATCCTCTCATCCCCACACCTCTGGCCTGTACCCCAGTTCTTGTATGCATAAATAAAATTAAATCTTTTAAAAAATTTTTAAAAAATGACAAAAAAGTAAGTACCATAATTTGGTATGTGAATACTTCAACTCCAAGTGAACAATACTTACCATCAGACTGTTAAATAAACACATAAACATTGGGAAACGTTCATGGAAATGAGCACTGTGAAAACATACATGGTTCCTGACAAGTGTGATCATCACATGGTCATTTAAGGCATAAACACAGCATATCAACAAACTGTATCCCAAACTACAACAGCAATGATACTTTAATAATTTCTCTTACAGTCTGCTCTATATGAAAAATGTGATGGTATATAATGCCCCTCTTGTTCTTAGTTGCAGAAAGAAAGAGCAAAAATATAGCTAATAATAGCTACCTTTACAATCACATTGTAAAAGGCAGTACTGTCCTTCCTTACCTCTCCTAATTACATATAGGAAAACTGATGAGGCAAAAATGAGTATCACACTTATATTCTTTAATACATACAATTCTAATAACTTTCAGAACATGGTATTAGTAACTACATAAATTTATAAAGAAAGACTATAGACTTTTAAAAACATTAACGTTTGACAACTTTACGATAATAATTTGTAAGTTATTTAAGACCAGTAGTGGTAGTGGCAAATCAGGAATTTTAAAGAGATTGAGAAATTATTTAGAATTTCATTTATATTATTAATGAATATATTATTATTATTATTTAATTGGTTGGCATGTTAATAGTTTCACTTGAAAAAGTTACCACATTTAACACAAAGAAGAAAATCACATTTTCTTCTGGCATTTTAGGATAGTATAGAAAGAAAGGCTAAGATAAACTAAATCTAGTTAAAATCTTACACGAAAGATCACTACAAATTATTGTGGAATACATAATTAATATACTAAATTAAGAAAGCATATCTTAATTTGGTTAATTACAAATAAAGGAAAATGATATATGATGTGATATATCTCAGTGATATATAGGGGAAAATGTTATTTAAAACAGTGATTAGCTAATGATAATGCAAATCATGCCATGAATTTGCCACTAGTATATCTGCTTTAGATCTTTCTGCCCAGTTCTACCATGCAATAGTTTCTAAACAGTAAAATGATGCCATTTTATAGAATACTTGAGGAATAGTTTTACCACTAATTACCAACTGGGAAGAGAGATTCTATGATTTTCAGTTCATCTTTAAGGAATTATTTAATGTGAAAAGTCCTATACCACCTGTATAACACAATCACAGAATTTTCTATGTTAAAATTTACTTTTTTTGAGTCATTTCTATAATTTGTTATGAAAGATCTCAAGGTTATTACTACAGTGACAAATAGGAAATTGATGTATCAACTCTGCATGTCTGTGATATATATTATCTTATTGAAACATCAGTTCTTAATAAGGCTATCCTAATAATATATAACTAAAATTCCCTTATGAAAAAAATTTATTTTATTAATTTACAGTAGGAAAGATCTGGGTTTAAGATTCTGACTTGATCATTTACAAAGAAAATTCTTAATGAGTACACTGACTTAGAAAAACACTGCATAATGGACAATTTACAAAAGAATATTATTGGAGAAACGCTAACTCAGGGATACATAAAGATTAGATTAACTCTAATCATTAAACTGATTTAAAGTCTCTCCATATCTTTTCAAAATCTATGATCAGTTGTATGTACTTTCTGGATACAGGATGACAAAATCCTTTATTTCTTAATCCTTCATTTTGTATGTCAACCAAGGTCAAGGATTAATGTTGTTTTTTTCAAAGCAGAGTTCAAATTACCTTTTACTCATGAATTTCATTTAAAGATATTTAGGCTGATTTTCAGCCAATTCACTCTTTCACTTTATTTCTAAAACATCCTAATGGTCATCAGGGACTCTGATTGGCAGATTACAGTATTTTTAGACTGTAACTTTCCATTCTCTGTTACTATGTGCCAACAGGATATGTGAAATTGATGAGACTTCTTTTTGTCCTAGTAAAGCAAAAAGGCAACCTTTATAATTAGGTTCTAATATTGTAACCATACAAAATACTGATTGATCACATTCTTGATTAAAATTTCATCCTTAGACTTGGTGAAGGACTATGGGTGATTCGGTGGTGGGAGTGTTAAGGTGACTAAACCTAAGCAGGGGAAATCCTACACTGACAAAACACTAACAAGGATGTAAAACAATTATACATCAATAAAAAAAATCAACAAAACAAATGAATGAATGAATGAATGAATAAAATTTCACCCTTAGAATAAATCAAAATGCTCTTCCTTGAGAAACTGGACCAATAATGAATAGGTTATATTTAGGTCCCCCCCAAAATAGAATCTTCCCTTCCTCTGTTGTTTCTCAACTACATAGAATTTCCATTATTTTTTCACAGCTTTTATTAATAACAAAAAACACTGTTACTAAAGTCCTTGAAAACCTAAAAGGTAGGGAGGAGAGGAAAACTAGGAAACATTTGTCCAAGTAGTAATCTAGGAAATTCAGTAGCAAGATCAGAGCTGTATATTTTTATGCTTCTAGCAATTTGTATTTCTCGAAGTAAGACCTAACATGACAACAGATCTGTCTCCAAATTTGATAATAACTCTAAACTTCTTACAGACTTGCACTGCTAGCCTCTTCACTCTCTTTAACTTTTGGAAAAGGGCTGATGTTAATCCTACACCAGTACTTGGAATCATTTATGCAGTTGGTAATTTATTTATCCTCAATTCACTGGAGTAAAAAGTAGTAAAGATGAGGGCCTCCCCTGGTGGCGCAGGTGGTTGAGTGTAGCGCTATGAAGCTGTCTGCAGCCTTGGCAGCACCGGTTAGATCCCGGCCGGCCAGCGAGGGTCCCACATTACTCAGAAGACCTCAGCGAGGGCCCCACATCACTCGGCACCCGCTGCTCCCCTCAGCAGTGTATTTCGTCAGTCTGCCTATTCTGTTCCCCGCTCTGACTCTTGTGATTCCTCTCACCCTCCCACGCATCTGTCCTGTACCCCGGTTCTTGTATAAATAAATGAATAAATATTTTTTTAAAATTAAAAAAATAGTAAAGATGAGATCACAGAATCTTAAGATCACAGGAATTACAGTAATTCCCCTTAGCTATACTATTTTCCTCCAAAACATTAGCATGGACTCAGAGATTTATAGTGTTCTATAGAAACTTAGAATTAGAAAACAATGACTCAAGTAAAAAACAAACAGGAGAAAGTTGATAAAAGGGTTCGTAGAAGCCTTAGGTCACCAAAATTTTACGTAAACTCCACTGAGATGAGGAACCCATTTGAAGGCAACCTTTGTAGGACTAAAGTGCAGAGTGGACACCTGAATTCTATGTGAGCTCACCAAGACACACAATTATAATGTCACTAATCAAATTTTTATCATTTTTTTCCAAATTAGATAGAAACTGGTAAATTTTTTGGCACATTCCTCAAATGCAAAAGAGGTTATCTGTTGATAGTGCTAACTCAGTTTTGAGGTATGGTATATTAGTCTCTCTTCAGCCTTCAATTCTCTCTTAGGATATGATTTTCAAGCATTGCACCAAAGTGGTATTAAATCTAAATTGCTTTAAATTGAAAGATATTTGTCATTAATTTTGTTGATTTTAGCAGGAAAAAGACAATTTAAAAAATACTTGCCATATAAGGAGAGGGAGCATTATCATCTGAAACACTGTAGAATGACACTTCGACTGGAAGAGTCAAATGTGTGGGGCAGAAAACACCACTTGCCCCTACCTCGGCAGTAAAACCATCAACAATGCCAAGAGGATCTAAACGATAGTTTAAGACAGATTCCTGGAAGACAAAATAATTTTAAGATAAAAAATTTAAAAGTTACTACATTTGTTTGTTTTTTTTAATTTAAAGAAATACATCATTATAGTTGTGACACTAGAAAGGGGACTGCTCCCACTGCCATGCCCTCATTTTGAAAGTTCATCTAACCTGGAATCATCCCCTTCCCTGCAATACATCACCTTATAAAGTTTGGTCTCTCACTATTCCAAACCCACCCTAAATTATCCTTGAATATCACCTTTAGTTAGACTTAATTGTCTAATATTTTATTCTTATTTCTGTAATTAAAAATATACTCTGGTGGAACAGGTATAATTTTCGAAATTTTCTTATCCTCTACAGAGCCTATTCATAGCTAGCCACAGAGAAGCACTTGAAACTTAAAAGTTTTAAAAGGTCATGCACAGAAGTTTCATCAAGACAGCCAAGGGGCCTCCCTGGTGGTGCAAGGGGTTAAGATGCAACCTATGAAGCTATCTGCAGCCTCTGTTGCGTGAGTTCGACCCCCAGCCAGGGAGCTACCCACATGGCACAGCAGACCTCTCCTGTCTCACCCGCTGCTCCTCCCCTCAGCAGTGTACTTTGGTCGATCTGCCTGTTCTGTTCCCCACTCTGTCTCTGGTGAATCCTCTCACCGACACCTCTAGCCTGTACCCCAGCTCTTGTATGCATAAATAAATAACTTAAAAAAAAAAGACAGCCAAGGGCCTCCCTCATGGTGCAAGGGGTTAAGACACAACCTATGAAGCTGTTTGCAGCCACTGCAACACGAGCTTGATCCCTGGCCAGGGAGCTACCCACATGGTGCAGCAGACCTCTTCTGACTTACCCACTGTTCCCCTCTCTGTCTCTGGTGAATCCTCTCACCCCTCACACCTCTGGCCTGTAGCCAGCTCTTGTGTGCATAAATAAATAAATCTTAAAAAAAAAAGAGAGAGACAGCCAACCATTTCTAACTTTAACTGAGAAATAATTACTTCCTAAAAAACGGCTATCATAGGTGACATATTTTGTTTGGTTGAATTTTTGAAATGTATATTAGAAAACAACTTAAAAATACAAAAAGACAAGCAGTATAGAAGTTTCTTATCCAAGTCTCCCAAGCTTGCTCACTAAGATAACCATTTTTAAAAATTTAAATTTAAGTCTAGTGGGTAGAGGCTGAAGATTCTCCTAGACATCCTACAATGCAGAAGACAGATGTCACATCAGAATTGTATGCCTCAAATAATAATAGTGTTGAGGTTAAGAAATTGTGGATTGGGCAAAACTATTTTTAGATACAACATCAATTCAAGATTCATAAAAGAAAGTAATATATTAGACATCAACAAAATTAAAATCTTTTGCTCTTCAAAAGATACTAATATAAAAATTTAAATCCAGGTCTCAGACTTAAGAGAAAATATTCAGAAAACCTATGTGTTTATATGCAAAGCAAAGGTAAATGATAAAAGCACAGAAAAGAGGCTCAACAGTATTAGTCATTGAGGAAATATAAATTTGAAAACACAGTACAATAGCTTGCATACCTGCTGGAATGGCATTACAAAGATTGACCACTGCAAACACTGACAAAGATATAAAAGAACTAGAACTCCCATACCCTAGTGGGGATTTAAAATGGTATAACTACTTTGGAAAACAGTTTGGCAGTTTCTTAAAATTCTAAACATATAACTACTGTATTACCCAGACATTCCATTCCCAGGAAGTTACCCATGAAAATGAATACTTATGTCCACACAAAAACTCAATGAATACTCATAGCAGCTGTATTTCTAACAGCCCCAAATTAGAAATGACCCAAATGTCTAGAATCAGGTGAATGAATAAGGAAAGAGTGCTACATTCATATAACAGTAATAAGAAGAAATGAATTCGTGATACACGGGACAGCATAGATAATGATGATGAGTAAAGGAAGCTCTGACTCCGAAAGTAGACACTGTGATTCTATAAATTTCTAGGAAAAGCAAGCTATTTTATAGTGACAGAAAGCAAAGGGACCCCGTCATGAGGGAAAAGTATTTAACTCTTACTGAATATTATCTGTATTGTGTTGGACTGAACTGATAGAAGATCATGGGGCAGATGAATTACATGAATAAGACCAAGGTTTCTGGAACAGACCTTGAAAAAGGTAAGCAAGAAAAGCTAATAACTAGTCAAAGAAATCTGAGCAACAGCTTTCTATTTGGGTGTTACTCTATGTGATTGTTTCTAGACTCAAAATCTCACACAAAAAAGTCAAGATATCATGATTTCCCTCGATAACATAGCAGGGTAAGACTCTGACATGATGGGGGCCCTCCCTGGTGGCCTGGGAGTTAAGTCTCAGCGCTATCACCTCTACAGCCAGGGAGCGAACCCACATACGGCACAGCAGACCTCTCCTGTCGTGCCCGCTGCTCCCCTCAGCAGTGTATTTCAGTAAATCCATCTGTTCTGCTCCCCACTCCGTCTTGGGTGAATCCTCTCACCTCCCAAATATCTGGCCTACACCCCAGTTCTTCTATGCAAAAAAAAAAAAAAGAAAAGAAAAGGACTATGACATGACATGTCTCATGAAACAAAATCATGTGTCAGTTTAGTAATTCAAGTCAATCTATTTTCTTTTTATTGCTATAGACAGTCAAATTCACTAAGTAATTTACTGGAGAGTACACCAAATATATTAAAAGAGGATCTATGGGTTGGGTAGTCTTAGAACTTCTCTGTATTTTTTCCCTTAAATCACAGAAAAATTTTGCATACCTGCAGGAAGGGGTGGGGAAAGGAAAAAGGAAGGAATAGAACTATGAAGGAAAAGGAAAGGGAGAAGGTGATTTCAGGCTCTGGAAAAATAAAATCCATTTATTTATTTGCCTCCCACAAGTAAGGTTATAAACATAAAAAGGCACCCTAAAGTTTCTAGATTAAGAAACTTCATCTCTGAAAAGAGTTTCAAAAAACATTACCTCAAAATTTCCTAAGAGACTAAGACTGGTAATAGGTGGAGCACTGGAACTCAGAAATGGTTTTTCATGAATATCTGGATCATCTTCAATATTTAAACACGGTCGAGAACTATTAGAAAAATAGGCAAATGCACACATTAAGCACAATATTTTCTAATTTAATTTTGTACAAAATTAAATAAGGAGAATTTGATTAATTTCTATATCAACCCTCATTTTCAGTTAAAAATGAAAATATAAAGGCAAAATTATGTGTCTAAAAACTGTAAGTGTAGTATTATTTACCAAGAGAACAAACTGCCAAGAATCTTTTGCAAATGAGTATAAACATAGTAAAAGAGGAGCAAAATGACTAGAAATATGTAAACTTGCTTACAGGTTAAAGTCAATATGTTTATTATGATGACCAACATGTACCAGCTAGTCAGTCTTAATTTTTTTCTTCACTGTACCTTAATAACTATGTGTGCATAGAAGTACATCAAAAGTGACAACCAATTTGAAAGTGACAATCAACTCAAAAATAAGCTTGCCATTAAAAATGCTTATTTTTTTTGTTTGAAAGACCAAACTTTTGTACAATTCTGTTTTTACACACAAATGCATAAATACCTTCTAGATGATAAACTTTTCAGATGCAGTAATGAGGAATCCAGATCAAAGCAACCTGATTGTGCCTTTCTCTGAGGAACCTAAGGTCAAAATAGTCAGGTGATATTTAAGAATATATTTTTTCTTCAATTGATAGACACTTTTCAAATGACAGCTAAGCTTATCTTAAAAAAAAAAAAAATGTCTCCCATAATAGCTTATTTAAAACAAGCTCTCATAAGGCCTCTCTGGTAGTAAAGGGGTTAAAGACAGTGCTATCAAACTATGGCCAGCCACTGCAGCATGAGGTAGATCCCTGGCCTGCCAGAGAGCAACACACGTGGTGCAATAGACCTCTCCTGTCTTGCCCGCTGCTCCCCTCAGCAGTGTATTTCAATAGATCTGTCTGTTCTGCTCACCACTCTCTTTGGTGAATCCTCTTACCCCTCGCACCTCTGGCTTACACAACCAGTTCTTGTATGCATAAATAAATAAATTTTAAAAAAAAAAACAAAAAAATGCTCTTAAAGCATATTTGTTCATATGTTGTAATTTTACTGATGAGGGTGGAAAAATAACAGGTTTTGATTTTTTAAAAGAAGCCGAACCTATTTTTTCTAAAACCAAAGTGTTGAGTTCACTTTACAAACACACTTAAAAAAAATTATCATGTATCAGTAGCAAAATAGATGTTTTTCTTTCTGCTGATGCTCACTGCTTACCGAAAGTTTAACTGAAATAATTAAAAAAGCTATTGCAACTAACTACTGAGTGCTTATGAAGTGTTATGAGTGACACTAAATATTGTCCTCACAAAATTAAGGAAGACAGGGTCACAACCCTTCCTTACGGATGAGGAAAGTAATGCTTGGAGAGATTATGTTACTGTTTTACATGGCAAGAGTAAAGTCAGTATTGAATCCAGAACAATGTTCTTTACCATTGCACTCAAATCTATAAATCTATTTGTACATGTACAGTGGGAAAATTTACATCTCAAAATAAGATGATTAGTGCATGGGTTCCAAGTCAATGACAGTCATGAATCTGACTCCCATTCAAGCCAGCTGGTGGTGTCAACCAGTTTAATATGAAGGTACAGTCTATTTGTATCAAATGCCACTACATTCTTTTCATTTAGCAAAACTTAAAAAGCTAGACAAAAGATTTTCAGAAAAAATTTACAATCCTAAATATAACTATAATTTTCTGCCCCTTTTCCATATTAACACTGAGATATTAATATATGAACAAATAAAATGCTTTGCAATTGGAAATTTATTTATTTATTTTTAAATTTTTTATTTATACAATAGCTGGGGAACAGGCCAGAGGCGTGGGAGGGTGAGAGGATTCACCAGAGACAGAGTGGGGAGCAGAACAGGCAAATGGACCGAAGACACTGCTGAGGGGAGCAGCAGGCACGACAGGAGAGGTCTGCCATGCCATGTGAATCTCCCTGGCTGGCCGGGAATAGAACCCGCACTGCAGAGGCTGCAGACAGCTTCACAGTGCGGCGCTCAAGCCACTGCGCCACCCGGGAGGCCCTGGAAATTTATTTTTAATATATTTAAATTTTTTCAATTAAAACCTGGGTAGAATGACTCATAGTTTAGATGTCTGCACGTTCTATACATGAAATAAGAGAAAAAATACTTACAGGACTTGAAAGAAGAGGCAATCCAGTTTGAGGATGAAAGGCTCTGGTTGAGGTTCCATCCAAGGAATGAAAATTATGTTTCCGCCAGACATTTGAATGTTTCAGTGGTATAGTCCTCTGCTAGGAAAAATAATTCAATTTTAGGTAATGTTTAAAAATTTTTTATACTTACTCCTAACGTACTGAGGTATTACATCCTTGGTAGTGAAGCTTGTGCTCAATGTCTCTATAAAATCCACACATAATCAAAATTTAATCAGGAAACAATGTCTAAGCATTTTTCCCGAAGGTGCTAAATAAACCCAAATATTCCAAAGAAAATATATTAAAATATAATTCCCTTATGAAGAATGGTCATATTTATAAATACTCAGAGTCTAGCATCTAATAAGATAATATATGATCCTTTCAATTTGACCTAATAAGACAGTTAAAAGTTACTGCCATATTAGCAGTTTATAAAAAGGTACCCTATTTTTTAAACCATTTGGTCTTTACTTCTAGTTACCTACTTTCTCTTAAGTCAGTGAATTTTTTGCAAGGATGTTAATACTAGATTTGTTTAGCAAGTTTATTATATAAGACTGTATATTCTTTAGATAATGGGCACTCAGGGCCTCTGTAACTAGCTGTTCTGTAAACAAAATTTAAACCAGAACACACTTTGAAAATTTTATTTGATATAATTAGATATTACCTACCAATACCTCTGTGTTTTTCAGTTGTTCACATGTAGACACACAGTCTTTCATATTCTTTCTCTGAGGACAGATTCGAGATTTTTCAGCAATTCGTTCTTCCTTCTTATTCTGTTCAATTTTTAATTGTTCTGGCTTTTTGCATTTGAGACCTTCATTATTTTTATTGAAATAATTTTCTATGCTACTAAGTTGAGTATTCTGCTCACATGTTTTAGGCCTTTTTGAGTCTTTATTTGAGCACTGGTTTTCATATTTGTCCAAATGTCCAGACATTTCCAGCATAGAAACTTTTATTTTTGAGTCCTTTTCTTTAGAATTGTCAAATTGGTGATTGTTAAAAGATTCTGGATTACAGTTTTCATTTTTTATTATTTTTCCCTTGTACTTAGAAATGCAAGTCTGTTTGTCAATACTGATGCAATTTGAATACTGCTTATCAATTCCATTGCTAATCTCTTGCTCTTTAAATTGACACTCAGAAAGTGTATTTTCCAGTCTGATTGTCAAATCTAAGTTATTTTCTGTGCAATGAGACATATTTGAGGGAGTCAATAAACTAATGTCTTTGTTCTTTGTCTCTTGAAATGTACTTTGGATGATTTCACTAGGATTGTCCTGATATAAATTTCTTACTTGAGGTTTCAAAGAGGCCTTTTCAGTACTGTTGCATTTAAACGAACTACATGATCTATCAAATATTGAGTTTTTCCTTTCTCTGCTATCTGCTAACAAGGAAAATTGTGTATTAGAAATGGAGACAGGGCCATCATCCTTGTTTTTTTTCAGCACATTTTGGTCTTCATATGAACTCCTGAACACTTTAGGAGAGACAGAACTGGAGTTCTGCATGCTGAATGACTGCCGGGGCATATGGGATGCAGTTGGATCAATGTGCTGTAAGTGTTGAGCAATCCTTGCAATTACATCTTGCCGCTCCTGGAGTAAAGATCCTATCAAAGGGTTAGTCTCACCCATAGACTGACGAGAGTAAACACCATTAGAAACACAAGTTTCATTTTGAGAAGTTTCTGGTTTTACTCTAATTTTCCCCTCACCAGCATCTTCTGAGGCAGTGAGCTCTGAACTACCAAAAGAGATGGGAAAAGGTTCTTTATATTTTCTCATGTTTTCATTCTCTCGAAAGAGTTTTGAATTAAGTGAACCAGACTCTTGTGTATTAAATGGGCGTCCAGAAACATGAGAAGTGCTTGGATCACAATGAATCAAATGCTGAGCAATTCTTGCAATAACTTCTTGTCGATCCTGAATTAAAGAACCTATTAAAGGATTACTCTCACCAACTGACTGCCAGGAACTCTGGCGGCTGGAAATGCTGGAATCAATCATTGAAAATGATTTTAAAGTTCTCACTGATGTCTCGTGTGATTTTTTATCTCCTATCCCACTGAAGCCCAGAATATTGGCTTGAGATGATCCATAGTCAGATTTACTGCCAGTGCCTGGATAGAGTTTGACATTTTTGACAGTTGTGGTATATTCTGGAGCTGTGCCATTTCTCGCATGTAGTACACCTTCAGGTGCCATGGTCCAAGCTGGTTTGCTACACAAACGTTGTGAACTGTTTGTACTACATTGTTCTGCTTCATTAGAATTGCGGTGCTGATGGGTTTTAAGTTCATGTTCTTGAATTCTTTTCTCATAAAGGCCAATGTTAGTGTGAATACTACAGGTCAAAACTGGATAATTAGATTGTCTGGGCAGGGACTGAACACTGACTTTCAAGGCCACATTGTGAGAAACATTGGGAACAGGAAACACATGCTCAATTGGAGTCTGTGAAAAATTCCACTGTAGGTCTACATCAGCAGCACTGATTCTGGAACCACACAGAAAAATACTGAATCAATAGGTTATAAAATTTATATCATTATTGTATATTATTTAAAAAAATGTATTCAGTCATATACTTATCTCTGTTAATTCCTATTGAAGCTTTATGTTTAGTCACTTATCATACATGTCATTCTGATAAAACCAACACAAGTAGTACAACAGATCATACTTGGAACAGAGATGACCATGTTTTTAGGAACACCAGAGACCACTGAAGCATTAAAGGTCAAGAATACTTCAATTTAAAATTATTTATCAAAACAGAAAAAAAAAGGAGTTTGCATATACTAGTCAGCGAATGGATTCAGCTAATTACTCTTTTTTTCTTTAAAGATTTATTTATTTATTTATTTATGCATAGAAGAACTGGGGTGTAGGCCAGAGGTGGGGGTGTGTATGTGATAGGATTCACCAGAGACAGTGTGGGGAGCAGAGCGGGCAGACTGAAATGCACTGCTAAGGGGAGCAGTGGGTAAGACAGGAGAGGGATTCAGCTATTCTATTGGGCAAGGTGATTAAGATATACTCTTGACTCAAGGTCACCTATCTAAAGAAAGAACTAGATAGTTATTCAGCAGCCTTCCATTTAGAGTTTTCAAAAATTAATTAAGTCTACCATTTGAGAATTCAGCAGCCCAGAAAGTTTCTCTACTTTTTTTTTATAATGGCAGAAATTTTAAAAGTTCTCTGAAAACTATTCTACACCAAATTTTACTCAAGAAGCAAAATTCATACTGATTCACATTCAATTTTTCGAACTTGTTTGAAGAAGAACTTCATTCAATTTTACCCACTCATATTTAGAAATAAAGGAAATAAAATATTTAATAGATAAATGTCATTTAGTAGCTAGTGAATGTATTTGGGTAAACACTTTTTTTTTTTATTTTTGTCTGAAACATACCTGTAAAGAATATTTCGTGGAATAGCACCATGAGAAACACTCAGCCAAGCACTTAATTGAGAAAAAAACACAAATGAGCGAACAGCCAATAGAAGAGTCTTCTCTTCAATAAATCGATCACCACTCCTGAAGGAAGCAAAAAAAGCATAATCTAAATGTCTGCAAGTACAGTGATTGAATTTCAGGAGGGGATAAGCTAAAATAAACATATTGGTCAGGATGCATGATTTCAAGAGCATCGTCAAACATTGATCAGTGTCACTTGAAATAATGTTAAATACTAAAAATCTAAATTTTACCATATAAAAGGATTCCCACATATAAAATATTAAAAATTTATAGAAAATAGCAGAAAACCTGATTTACCAAGAACAACTTCAAACTCAATTCAACAACTTACTGTCGAGGAACTGGCTCCAATATCCATCTTTCTAGTAACAATGCATCTTGTTTAATTGCAGGATCATTTAGATCCATTCCTTCTGCAGAGGGCCCGTCATCACTGTAGCAGCAGTCTGGTAGGAGCATCACTTCCACCATGATCGGAAGGTTATTCTTCCACAACAATGTGACTTCAGACCTGGTCCGTCTGGCTTGGCGACACTTAGAGAAAATGAATATTAGCAAGATGTCTCAATAACCCACCCAATTTTGTATTTAAATTTGGATGTCATAACTGTAAGATAGACATCTGCATGAGAAATAAGTCTATTGCAGAGCTGTGCTCTCGCTTGCTTATGGAGGTTTCCTCATTAAATAACGAATTAATACTAGTAAGTTCTAGAATGTGAGAATTAGCATTGACCAAAATTTATGATGCAAATTTACTTGGGGGGTGGTACCTTTGTTGTATCCTGTAGAAAAATAACTGCCATACACAATATCTGGCAGATCTTGAAGGTGGCCCAGCCTCGCCAGTTTGCTAACTAATTATTACAGAGGAAAGATTTGTTCTAAGACTAAAATATTAAAAACTCCTTTCATTAAGCACTCAAACCAGATAAGATTTTAATTTGGCACTACATTTAAGATGTAATTAACTGGGAGAAAAATCATTATAGCAAATCATGTTCTACCTACCAAAAAATATTTTAATAGTATTCAAAAACATTAATATGATAGCAAAATGTATCCTCTCCTACAAAAAAAAAAGGCGTAGAGGAGGGAAATTGGTTTATGTTGGGAAAATAACCAGGAACATTAGTCTACTAAATAAATAAGAAAATAAAGTCAGTGAGCCAGAACTGATTATGAAAATAAAGAAAGCTAAATCTCAGCAATGGTAAGTTTAAATATTGAGCACCAGAATGCAGGTATGAAATTGGCTGCCCACATGCCTGCTGATCAGCAAAGCTACTTCCTGTGGCTTCAAAAGCATTACTTAACAGCCAAGGTGACTATCACTATGATCTAGGATTAGGACTTTTGCTTTATGGTTGTGACCAATTTTATTGTTTAAATATAATGTGAACATTATAATTATTACACAACAAAGGTGAAAGAATTTAAACTAGTTTACATAAAAAATAAATAAAAAACATTCAACACACAATTCTTACCTGGGCCAGCTTGTCACTACATTCATGTTTGGTAGTTACTGGGTAACAAGACTGTGCTGGAGGGCAATGGAAACTTTCCGTGCGACCTTTTACAGAACATTCTGGTGTTCGTCCTTCTGTTATTAACAAGGCCAGAGAGACCAAGAACTCCTCTGCATCGTATTCAAAATATTCATCTAGAGTATCTATTATTTTTAAAAAAGAAAAGGGTTCATGCTTTAAAGTATTCCTGATAAGAACTCATCTTTTATGCCTACAATAACTAATGTCACATTCCATATTCAAGTATATTCATTCACAACAAAGAGTAAAAAGAGCATAAAAATGAGGTAATTAAAATATAAACCTCGATTTACAAGGTACACAGAAATCAAGAAGTGACAGATAACTTCAAAATCGGTTAAGACAAAGCTGGTTAAAATTATGGTATAAAATTGTTTTTATGTAAACTTAAGTAAAAGTATTTAAGACTTTGGAATGCATTTGCAATTCTATAAATAATTATATTATTGGGTATCAGATACAATAATGTTCACATACAAAACTTCACCAACAACAAGAGGTTGAAAAGTCTTACATAGTTTTTGCTTAGATATTCTATTACCATTACTAAATATTAGGGAAAAATGAGCTCAAAATGCATCTTTCTCCCTTTCCTTCCTTGTATAACTATTTCTTTGATCTCTAATTCTATGATGTGAGTATTTAAAGCCACAGGGTCCTTCTCTGTCTTTGCTATACAGTAGTAATTCCAGAGGGAGAAATTTTAATATTATCCAGCGTGTGATGCAGGCTCCTCTAGCAATACTATATGAAGTGTGAGATAATTGGTTACTATAAAATCTAGATATTTCCACTTAGTTGTAGTAACTTTTAAATTTCTCACAAGTGCTCTAATTTTTAAAAACAGTTAATTTTCAAAATTGTAAACCTGCTACACAGGTTGAAGATGTGGGCACATGCACACACACACAGTTAACTTGTGCAATCTTAAAAAGGTTGCTTTCTTTTCTTTCTGCTATTAAGTAACACATTTGAAGTGCCTCATACACTGTATTAGTTGATGGGGGACAGAGTACACTACACAAAGCTCCTAATCACAGATTCTGAATCACAGAATGATTTTAAAAAGTATAACAACACCCAACATACAAAAAATTCCCAGTAAGTTCAGATAACAGTCGTAAAATTTTAGAAGGGTAGATGTTGAAGTGAACTATGAGTGAGGAACTACAGTTTGAATGGAGAACTTACAGAGAAAGTATGGAAAGGGGAGGATTTGTACCATATTGAGAGTATCCTCAAAGAGAATGAGAAAGAATGGCTATTTCTATCCTTAGGAAGATTTATCAGAAATAGCTGAGTACCAACTTCACTGAACTGGTATTTTAATATCACTCAGAAAAATTTCCCTAAAATGACCATTTGTAACACATAAAATAAGAACTAGTGCCTAATTACATTGCCAGTTCTAAGCACTTTAAACATATCAAATCACTTAATCCTCAGAGTAGCTCTAGAAGGGAGGGATTATTATCACTATTTTACAGAAAAGTGAAGCTAGACTGGTCAAGAACTTGTCCAAGAAGTCACAAAGTTGGAATCTGAATCTACAATGTCTGGCTCCAGAATCTGGGTCACTAGTCACTCCCTACATGTTTTCTTTCATTGTGGCTATAAATTTTGCATAACATACTTGTATATTACATGTATGTATTAACATACATACATATATTCAATATACATTTTTATAACAAATTTTGGAATATTTATTGTATAGAATTGCTTACCAGGAACAGGACACTAATTCCTAAAAATGTGCCAACATGAAAAAAAAAAAGTCCTCAATTTTCAATTCTCCTGCCAATTACAACATAAGTTCTAACATAGAAAAGTCTGAAGTATTTCTGTTATTTGAAAACAACAAACTACCAGGTCAGATTAGGAAAGGAGAAAGGACCTAAGGAGGGAGTATATGAGAGAGTGTTTTTATTGTCTTTTGGGCTGTGGGACTCCATGACTTGCAAAACAATTAATATATCCCAAAGATCTACAATTGAATGGCTGAATCACACAGTAGGAATCATCGGGTTTAAAGTGATAAAAATTAAACTGCCATGACCAAAAGCACATTTGGATTTAGTTTGACAGGAAGTAGAATTTGAGAGCCTCTCTGGTGGCACAAGAGGTAATGACTCAGCTATGAAGCTACAGGCAGCCACTGTAGCATGAGTTTGATCCCCAGCCAAGGAGCTAGCCCACATGGCACAGCAGACTTCTGTCTTGCCTGCTGCTCTCTTCAGCAGTGTATTTCAGTTAGTTTGCCTCTTCTGTTCCTCACTCTGTCTCTGGTGAATCCTCTCACGCCCCGCACCGCTGGCCTGTACCCTAGTTCTTGCATGAATAGGTAAGTAAATTTTTTTTTTTTTTAAAAAAAGGAGGGCCTCCCTGGTGGAGCAAGGGATTGGGCACAGCACTGTGAAGCTGTCTGCAGCCTCTGTAGCACGAGTTCAATCCCCAGCCAGGGAACAACCCACATGGTACAGCAGACCTCTCCTGTCTCACCAGCTGCTTCCCTCAGCAGTGTATTTCAGTCAGTTTGCCTGTTACGTTCCCCACTCTGTCTCTGGTGAATCCTCTTACCCTCTCAAGCCTCTGGCCTGTATCCCAGTTCTCGTATGCTTAAATAAATAAATCTTAAAAAAAAAAAAAAAAAAGAACTAGAATTTGCCTAGATTCTAGTTGCTTTGGGCATTATCTCCTCAGACAATAAACTAAAGAACTTCAAAACCATGATTGGGGTCTGTAATCATTTGGATCACTTACTAAACTTAGCCAGAGTTTAAATATTTAAAATGAAAACTTTGAAACAAAGATTAGAGATAAACAGTGGTTGTCTATTATTTATCTATGTAACAAATACGTAAGTATTGCAAGAAATGGTAAGGGTTATACAGTGGTATTATAATACACAAAACATACTACCTAAGTGCATGTGACTAGATGATGACAATCTTTAGGAATTTATCAGGAAAAATTTATAGGGGTCTGAATTTTAATAAATGAAAACACTAAATCACAGCAGTCATTAGAAATGTGCACAGTTAAATTTTTTTGCTTTTTTAAAAGATTTATTTATTTATGCATACAAAAATGGGTATAGGCCAGAGATGTGGGAGGGTGGTGGTGGTGAGATGATTCACAAGAAACAGAGTGGGGAACAGAACAGGCAGACTGAAATACATTGCTGAGGGGAGCAGTGGGCAAGACCAGAGAGGTCTGCTACACCATGTGGGTCAGATCTCTGGCCGGGGATCTAACTTGTGTTGCAGTGTCTACAGACAGCTTGATAGTGCAGTGTCTTTAACCCCTGTGGCACCAGAAAGGCCCCGTGTAGTTAAAATTTTTATACTATCAACCTCTAAAACACCAGAGTGGAGTTTACTGTACTAAAGACTATGACCAGTAACTGAGAAATAACACATCATACTAATGAAAATTCAGTAGATATAACTTGATATTTTGAGGACACAGCTTACTCCAAAAGCAGGTATGATTTTAGGGCCTTCAAAAACAGTTTACTTTTACAAAAATAAAACATGTTTCAAATTAAACAAGACTTACATATTAGTTACATATTTTGGAAGAGATAAATTATTTGATGTAAAACAACACTGAAGAGAACAGGAAGCATATTATAAATATTCATAGGTTATAAAGGACAGTTCACTGAAGATTTGGTATTAATCCATCAAAACACAGTTCTAGAGTCTCTCTAGACCTCTAAGACCTCATAAGGACATGCTTACGCTATGGTCTGACTGGCAGCCATTACCAAACTGGTTGCTTTTTTAGTGGCATGCTCTTCTTCTTTTTGGTTCTGGAGTTTAGTAATCATGTTATAGTTTCCCATCTGTTCTGTCCAACAAAAGAAGTGAACAACTTGGCCACTGAGAAAATTTGAACAATCAGAATAATGCACAGATGAAAAGGATTAACTTGGGAAGTAAACTCTTCATAACCAGGGCTGTTCAAAGAGTAACTGATAAACACCAGAGGTGTGGTTGAAGGGATTTACACAAGTGCTAGCTGAATGAGATTCAGCCACCTATGGCCTCGGAGAGTCTGAATCTCTGATCTTCAGAAGTAGTCAGAAAAAACCCAGAGGAAGAGTTTGGGATCCTCTAACCAGTTGCCCCTCTGAACCAGTACTCACAATATACACATTTTGTGGTATCTCTGGATCCTTAATTTGAAACCAAAAGTCAGATCAGAGCTACGGCAAAGCTTTGTCTAAAGGGAATGGAAGAATATCTTCCCCACCACTGGCCTGCTATAGATGCTGTTCAATTTACTTCTAAAGCCTAACAAAGTAGTGGAAAGATTCCACGTCCCTCATGATATGGAATAAAATACCAAGAACAGCAACCTAGAGCATTGCTAATAAGAAAGTTTCCCTAAAAACAATATCCTTTCAAACTCATGGGGGACTATCTGGTAATATAAACTAAAATTCTCCTATAAATTTGCCCCCAAGAATTAATAGGGCATAGAAATGCAATTAAGTGTTCAAGGGTATTTATTAAAATGTTTACGCCAGTTAAAAAAATTAGAATCAACCTAAATGTCAAATAACAATATGTTGTGGTACAGTTCTATCTAAAGTAGTGATAAAGATCATTGTTGACAAGGAAAGTTATCTACAATGCAAGTGAAAATATAATGTTTAGAAAAACACATGCTAATGTGTTTGTGGGATCACATGATCATAAATATGGAAATATATATCTACATACATACAAATAACAAAATATTATCAGTCCTATAAACACAAAGGGCCTCCCTGGTGGCACAAGAGGTTAAGACAAAGCACTATGAAGCTAATGTTAGCCACTGCAGCATAAGTTCCATCCCCAGCCAGGGAGCTACGTACATGGCGCAATAGACCTCTCCTGTCTCACCCGCTGCTCCCCTCAGCAGTGTATTTCAATGGATCCACTAGTTCTGTTCCCCACTCTGTCTCTGTCTCTGGTCAATCTTCTCATCCCCCGCATCACTGGCCTGCACCCCAGCTCTTGCATGTATAAATAAATAAATCTTTAAAAACATAAAATAAATACAAAAGAACATAAATGTAATTTTAAATTGCCATTCTTTGATTGCTATTAGATAAATTATAAGGCCT